GTTGCCTGCAGGTTAGAAAGCTGGGGATGCTGCTGGCATCCTCTGGCCTTTTCCTAAAGGCTATGCCCAATCTAAGTGACATCTCATGCTTTCAGCAAGTTCAAAAGGAGTTAATAAGGATCTCCCCAAAGCCCTTTTTTGACCTTTATTCCAAAGATTCCAGCAAAGCCACCTTCCCTCTCAGTGTGCTGGGACAGGGGAAGGACTCTGTGCCTTCAGGATTGCTGGAGCTTCATTTTGATGAAAGTTGTGCCTCACCTTAGCTGTAAATACTGATAATACTCCTGCTCTGCACAGACACAATTCTCTTGTTTGCCCAAGATGTTTTGCTCAAAGCACTTCCTCCTGCTTATCAGAGGCAAAATTACAGGACTGGGCTTCTCAAGGAACAGTATTTGTCCTCTGTTTCATACCTTAACAGTAAGTACATAAACTCCAAAGCCTTCCATTTAGGCAGAGTGAGAGGTCTGTGAAACCACCCCCAGGAATGGAGAAGGCTCCTACAGTCCCCCATCTGTAAAACAGAGATGGAATTAACTGTGAACCTGGGTGTTTGCAGTGCAGAATGTTCATGTAGTGCTTTCAGCATGTCTGTGCTAAGCAGGAGTTTGTTGTCGCTGTTGTTACATAGTTTTTATCTCATCCTCAATTATTCTTAGCTTGTCTTATTCAGGGAGACAAGGTGGAGTCTGACAGCCCCAGGTCCTCCTGAAGTGTGCTGGCTTCTCCAGCTGGGCTTGTCAGCCAGCCAGCCACAGTTGTGCTCAGAGGCTCTGGATTTCTGAGGCAATGAGGGGACAAAGCTGACAGTAAAAGCAGCCTTACATGTGCATTGCTACAGCTTCAGTAGCTGCCTCAAGGGAATACAGATTAAGAAGGAAACACTTTAATTTGGCCTGGATTTATATGCAGGTTTTTTTAAGCAATGTTTTGTCCCAGCTGTAGTTTAGGTGAGGCTCAGATCCCTGCCTATTCTCTCTTAACTGCATCCAGCTTCCAGCCACTTTTCCTGACCTCTGTGGCAGGTTCTCTCCAGTCCTGCCACATCTCTTGTAGCTTTCCCTTCTGCAGTTCACATACTGAGTTTCCTTCATTGTCTGAAACTCTCTGCACATGACTTGCCCACCTTAGATCAGTATATATTTTTTAGGAAGTCTTTGTAATAGGACAGTGAGAGATTTAAGAGCCCTATTAGGGCCTAATGGAAGTCAGTGAGGAAATATTGCTGCTCTTTGCAGGAGGAACAGGATCTTAGCTTAGGTAAAGTGCAGCAATATGCATGCCCTGCTCTAAGAAGTGCTTCTCTTGAAGGCATGGATTGTAGTGGATCACTACACTGGGACACATTTAACCTGTGTAGGACATTAACTAAACCTGATGGGGCTGATAGGCATGGGCAAGGCTCCAGTATGTCCAGTATGTCTGAACCCAGGGCTCACAGGAATTTGCATGGATGGCATGCCAGCTTCAAGCTTTCACCTCTCATCTGTTGACCAATGAATCCCAAGGAGGAAAAGAATTTTTCTCTTTTTCACTAACAGATTGATAAAGGTTCTTGCTGCCAAATCTTTAAGAAACTCTTTAGTCTAAAGAAATCCCTGGTATTCTACATGTCTAAAAACAGGCATCTCATTTAGAGCAGCAGTTTCTCTGCAGAGTTTTTGTTATTCTTCTTTGTGCTACTTCACTAGAGCTGTGATTTGTAAAGGGCCTGGCTTGTGTATGGAAGAATGCAGCAGATTCAAATTGCAGAATATTAAATATAATACTTCAGTCCTGATTTGAGATAGACGTTTTGCCTGGCTGAGGACTGGTAGCTCAGAGACAAACAAGGGAAGCTGACAGATTGGTGAATATTGGGTAGGATCATTTGTCAGGAGATGTGATGAATCACTGTGGTGCAGCATTTCATTTTCAGAAAGATCATTTTCTGAAAAAATTAAATTAAAGGCAGAAGAGACAGCTGGGGGTGTTTTGAGAGTTTTCATTTAAATCAAAGTTACAATTAGAATAAAGGCATATTGAAAAGTTCCTGTTATTCTAAAAATATTTTGAGGAAGGAAAAGAATTGGGGTTAGAAGGAAACAGGAGGACCTGGAAGAGCACTTGCCAGCTGTGCCCCACAAATTGGCGTTGGATTTTACTCACCTCTCTCTAGTCAAAGCCAGTAGGAATCTTATGTCTAGAGCTTCAAGCAGTGCTTCAATTGGGGGAAAAACATCCATCTTATAACCTTGCACACAGGTTATTTGCGCAGAGGTCAATGTGCTTTTGATAGGACTGAACGCAGAGGCTGAGCTCCTCTCAGTGGCAATGAGAGCAGCCCTCCTGTTTAATTTCAGCTGGGCTCTTAGGAAGTCCAAGGCTACGTCACCCTGATTAATTCATGCAAGGTAACACATCAATAACTAATGGAAACAGGGGAGACACAGAGGGTGGGGGCTTCCTGCTGCTGCTTCAGCTGCAGACACAAGTGCCAGGAGGCCAAGGGCTCATCCCTGTTCCCCCTTTCTCCTGGAGCGCAGTCACCACCCACAAACTCAGTTGTTCTGTACAAGGTTATTCCTGGGGTTTGACCAACACCTCTCCAACCCTTTGTAAGCAAACAGAAGAGTGTGAATGCTTCAAGGAGTAGCTCTGCCTATCTAATAAAAAATATTTTAAATCAGTTGCTCTTCAGAGAGCAGCATATTGTTGTATGTATAGCACACTTAATTAGAAGGTCAGATGGAAACTTCAGTAAAACAGAAATGTGTAAAATCCTACCTTTACCATCACTCAAATCAATAGAAAGTTCTCACTCTGTATATGTGTAAAACTGGTATTTCCAGATGCCTTCCCTGTCAGTGGACATGAAATAAAGGTAAAACAATCTGGCAGTACTGTTGCACAACATGTGTTTCCCTCCTTCAAAGTTGTAGCCTGCACAGAGATGAGAGAGAGATAAGGAGATGAGACACATGCATGGTGTGAGATTATAAAAGAGCATTACATCCTCTTCCAAGCAAGATTCAAGCAGGCACTTTATTTTTAAAACAACAAATAATGGTGGGTCATACCATGTGCAGGACTTGATGTTGAGGCTTTGTGAAGCAGCTGGGGGAGAACTGGTCACATAGTGCCTGTTTCCTTGACTAATGCTCTGCTGGTTACTCAGTTTCTGAAATATGGAAATCTGATGCCAGCTGTGTTTCCAGTATAAAGGCCTGCACTCTTTGTGCAGGAAAAGTGGTTAATTTTATGAGGAAGCCTCAGCAAGTTGCTTGCTAGTGAGGCTTCTCCAGGTAGAAGGAAGATCAGGAATGCTTGGTGACACAATCTCTCGTGACCATGTTAAAGCACACATGGTCTAACAAAACTTTGCTCTTGATCTTCTGTGAATGTTAATAAATTATCATGATGTTAGTATCCATCTCAATTAGGATGTCAAGATTGCAAAGCAAAACTTGATTAAGGAAGCGCAAACTTTGCATTTGCATCCTTTTAACATGGCATTTGCCCTTCAGATAAGAATTGCTGTTCTCTCCCTTGTTCCATATTAGTGCTGATATGAACCTAAGGCTGGTGTGTAGCTCTCACTCTACAGGGCAGATATTCTCAGGTGAGATAAATTAATATTCAAAATAAACCTTTCTCTTTCATCTTCAAGGTAACAGATTGCCTTGCTGGATTTCTGTCCCCACCTGCCCTTAGTTACCCTGTTCCTCTTCACCTCTGTCAGTTTCTGAATAAGAATTAGTTTTTCAACAATTAATTTACCTCACTGCCTGTGTAGGACATTACCTAAATTTCCAGGCCTCTCTGAGACTGGCATCACAGCCGTGCCCTTCCATCCTAATTGATGGCTCTGCTGGAGATCACAGCAGGTCCAGTTGAGACACAGGGAGCTGAGGGTAAGTGCAGAGCTGAAATACAGTTCATTCTAATTCTTAAATGAATGCTAGGAATCCCCAGCACATATAAGTTTATCGTTTATTGCCTGTAATTTTCTCAACTAATTCCAAATTTAATGACAGCTTTCAGCTTTGGTGTTCTCTTCTAATTAACGTACCAGTGACTATGTATAATCTCTGTGTAAAGCCAAAAGCAGCTTACATGATAATTACAGAGGGATCACAGCACCTACTGTTTAAGGAAGGCATCCATGAGAAAGGCCTTGCATGATAGTTAAGGTGCTGAGATTAAGTTGTAATTAATCTTAACTTGTGCTGTTTCTTGTACTGCCTCAAAGCTCTTTTATTACTGGCTCAACATGATGCTGGTAAACTTTCAGGAAGGAAACAAAAGAACTGGACAGATCAAGCACAATCTTTTGCACATACAGCAGAGGCCTCCTGGACATGGTGAGCTTTTGAGGTCATAGTATTTCTGTAGAGTCATACTGTTGAATAACTTTATATTTTTCCCATAATAATGATCATGTAGTGGGTTGAAAATTCCTCTTTTACATTGTGCAAGATGCTTTGCATCCACGGTTTTTGCAGCTGCAGTCGGAAAATAATTCTGAGTGCACAAATCAGAAGTGAAGCCCAAGTGTGTGGCAGAAGCAGAATACCTTTGCTGCCTCTATGAACTCAAAATGAGCATTGGTTACATCATTTTAAACACGCACCATGTCTGTTTTCCAGTATGGAGGAGTACACATTAATGCACTTGGTCACAACTAAATGTACTAAGCTAAAAGGAAACACTGTGTGTAGATGAATGATTTCATAAATAGGCCTGTTTGCAAAAATGAGTGGTTAAACTGCATCCAGTCTCCCTGTATTACTTTGGTAGTTATGTGAGAAGGGAAAAGATGTATTAAAGTTCTCTGTGATGGGAAACGGGAACATAAACTCAGAAGAGGAACTCCTCTTGTTATTTACAAAATGTTGGTTAAACTTTGATTCATTTCAGTACAGGACCATTGTCCAACAGCTCTATGCTCCATGCTCTTTGATTCTGGAATGTGGTACTCAGCAATTTTTGAGTTCTGTGTCTTTTGTTGTTGGTTTTAGATTGACAAGTATGCTCAGCGGGATCTGAAGAAAGGACTTCACTTGTATGGGACAGATGGAAATATTGGCCTCACTAATGCATGGAGCATCATTCAAACAGATGTAAGTCTGAGCTCTCTCTTTTATCTCTTCCTCTTTACCTTCTGGGTTCTGTAACAGCGTGTTCTGGGCGTGAACCTAATTAAACCTCCAAATCCCAAGTCTCTCTTTCTCCCACCCAGTCAGCACACTAGCATCTAAACCCTGCTTTTTGTAACAAGCAGTCATTTTTATTTATTTCTCCTTTGACAGGAAGTATCATCTGCCTTTCAGAAGGTTATACTGAGTTGATGCCTAAATATCATGCAGTTCTGTGCTATATGGAGTTGATCAGAAGGAGCTGGTCAGACAGGAAACAAGCAGTACCTTTTCTTTAAAGTCAAAGGTGTGGCTTATGTTGGGATGAAGAGCAATAGCATAATAGCAAAGAACCTCTTCAACCACTTTTTAATTTCTGTCCTGTCTCCTTTCACTGCTTCTGTTGTTCCCACCAGTGAGTCAAAACTGAAACAGACCATGGTGTTTGCAACCTCCTCCTACAGTCAGTACATTTTCCCCAGCAGAATCAGTCATCCTCCATCGCAGGTGGACTGGGAATGCTTTTTGCTGTGTTACCACTGCTGTTCCTTTGTCCTGATTCTCTGACAGCCCTCTGCCAATGTTAATCTGCTAAGGACTGGTGAACATTGTAGCTGGCTTCCTCCTCTGTCCTTGTCTGAGAAAACACCATCACTGACAGTTCAGGTTTATTAGCTCTGTACTTGTTTCATATTCAGTTCAGTCAGTTCTCCTGGGGGTGATCTTTGTGATTTCATGTTCTCTGCTTCTTGAATGGAAAAGTGCTCCAGCTTTTCTCCTGCTTTAGACAGAAGCACTTGCACTGCCTTGGCTTCACTCAAAAAATCTTGCATAGCCTTCTCAGTTTCTCCTCCAGAGGTACAAGTTTGCTACAGACAGGAGGGGTTTAGTCTTGCCTGATGTCTTAGAATGGATCAAAGACAGTAACCTCTCCCAGAGCTCCCAGTCTCCTCTTGTGGACAATACAAGGTAACAGGAGCAACAGGCTGCTAAGAAATGATCTGAGAAATGAAAACCTTGAGATCTCTAACAGAACAAAAGAACTGATTGGCCAAGCTCCTTGTGCATCTTTGGGTCTGCAGGACCTGTGCTGAGTGCAGTAAGTTGCCTACAACACTCCTGTGTGTGAAAGACAAACATCTCAGGTCCAGGAAAGAAGCCAGTTTCAGTCCTGCATTCCAACAACTGCATGTGAAAAGTTCTTTCAGTTACTTTTAAAAGGCCTCAGCATCTTGCAATATTGTTAATAATTTCCTCTTCCAATACTTTTTCCTTTTTTCAATACATCACATATGAGAAGGCATCAGTTACTGACAAGAGAAATGCATTTGGTGCTGCTAGCTTGAGAGCAAGCCATGTGAAATACAGATAATGTTTTTAATATCATTGCTTATATCCAACATTATTAGAAAGTTTACTCTTTTACAGTAACTTAATTATGTGTAGTAAAAATATAGCAAAAATGTCTAATATTAAAATATTTGTAGTAAGTATTAATCTGCTTTCAGTGACACCCCAAGAAGTCTCAAAAGCCTATAGCAAAGGTGGGGGGAAAGGCAGTTTTTGGAGGACCCATGGGATATAAATATCATACTTCCTCTCCCCTTTGAGTAAAATAGGTGTACAGAATATATGCAATGTCTAGTTCATATAGTCATATTTTTTCAAAATCTTCATGAGTTGATTTGATTCAGAAAAGATGTAAAATAATAATAATTTTGGAAAGTGACATTATGGTGAAAAGTTTTAAATACCTTATATAAACAGGAAAAGATGAAATAGTGGTGTGATTGCAGTCCTTAAAAAGAGAGCAGGAAGGAAAAATGTTTGTGAAAGAAAAAGGCTCTGTAATTGAACCAAGAGCTAAAATCTCAAGTTAGACATATCTGGTGGTAGGATGCTGTTGTACAGCAGCACAGCAGATTCTTTTTCTCTAAAGAATAAAACCTGGCTTTTTGCTTAAAGGAAATGGTCAGGTTCAGTGACCAGCTTGGGTTTGAGGCAGGACTCAGTGGTCTGTGGTTTGTGTAGTGCTGCAGATCATGGTCATTTGTCCTGGTAATTCCTTTGGTCTTGAAACCCATGATCGTTTAAAGATTGCCTTATGAGTTTCAGATGAAACTCATGTTAGCTGACTCCTAGGAGCTCAGAAGATGACAAGAAAATGCCACCCCACGGGCTGTGTGCAGCAGGGGACATCATTCTCTCATGGCCACTGTGAAATTGCCGGTTACCACGTGCCAGCTTGGCAGTACCACAGTGTCAGAGTCGTTGTGCTCCCCATGCTGGGCACTGAGGAGAACAGCAAAGAGCTCCCACAGCTCCATTTTTGCCACTCTGCATAATTGGTTCTCACATGTATCTTTCAATACTACGTGGGAATAGACTATTGCAGAGGTGCAGCAAAGACAATCCCATCATGGTTAATTATGTAAAACACTTTGCAGTTGAATAGAGCTATCTAAATGCCAACTTGGGGGGTTTTTGTGTAATAATCATTATCTCTTACATCCCTAATCAGTAGAGTGTAATCACTGATTGGAGGATTAGGGTGATACAGGGGATTTTCTGCAAGGGAAATCCCAGCCCAGGCTTGCTGTTTGCATTCTGTCTCCTAAGACTCTCAACAAAAGCCACAGCAGAGCAACCACATTTCCATATAGGACAGTTTTTTCCTGATGGGAGACATCAGTCATTGGCTGAACCATGGGCTGTGGCTGGATGTGGATGGAAAACAGCAGCCTCACAAAAAAAAGTTCCATGTAAAAAACATGCCAGTAGCAGAAATCATAATGAGTCCTTGTCCCCTCTGCATTTGCACTCCTTTCTTTGTAAAAGTATTTTTCAGAGCCTGAGCAGTGGTTAAAGCAGTAGCTTTAGCTTGGCATAGTTCTTAATTTCACCCAAGATTTAAGCTAGAGACCATCCCCGTCCTGCATTCATTAGGTACTACTGTGTATGGCAGCTTTGGCTGAAAAAAGGAGGAAAAAGTTTTTCCAAGGAACCACATTCAGATGGCATTTGACTTTTGTGGGACTGGCCAGTCACAAATCTGAGGGGAGTTTTAACTGGGAGTGTGGATGCCCAGTGCACACAGTGACTTGTGAGTGGTGATTGTCTAAGTGTGAAAGGCCTGAGCACCTTTTGAAGAAGGTTTTCTTTTTTGAAGCCTTTGTGCCTTGAAAAATTGTTTTCCTCTTTTTAACAAAAACCTACCATTTTCAAGAAACTAGAAACAAGGGAGAAAGTGTTTTTCCCTTCCTGTCTTTTAAGAGGAAGTTGCAGCTTTGGCTGATGCCTGAGCTGCTCACATTACTGATAAAGGAGTTGGGTTAAGCTGCAAACCTGTAAAGTGTTTGAAAGGAAAGGCAATGGACTCATTTTGCAGTCCTAGTAAGCCTCTAGGTCAGGGAGCTGTTTCAAATCAGAACATTCTATTGATTTCTTTTTAATACCTGCAGCTAACCAAACTCTCAGCCTTTCTCAATAGTGTTTCAAACCTTAAAAGGATCAGAAACACAAGCAGATGAATTCTGTGTGTCATGACTGAAGACTACAAAAGCTTACAAAGTGATTTTCAAACATGACTAAAATTCTGATAGTTCAGGAGGTAAGTTACTCTGAACTGCATTAAACTCCTTACCCACCAGCACTGGTTAAAGTCACAGGTGGAGATCATTAGAAAATGAGAAACAGGCATTAATTTTTAAAGTGTTGCTTCATCCCCAACATCTTTGTGATCAATATTTGAGCACTTCTACTTTTAACTAAGCGGGCAGTAATTTGAGAGGCATGCAGAAAACCGATTAGCTTCACTAAAGTGAGCAAATTCAGCTCACTTTTGCTGCTGTGTATTGCCTTTTCATGTCTGTTTAGACCACTGTAACTGAGAAGAAATTTGACCCATCTCCCTATTCCAGTCATTGATTCTATTAGATCAAGCCATACTTTAGAATTACTACTGGAAAACACCACCCATTAAACATGATTTTTAGAACAAAATATTATTCATCCCTTTTTACAGTGATGGAGGAAAAAGGTATATAGATGGCCCCCTACTCTGTCTCTAGTTCTTTGCCCATTCACAAAACCAGAAAACAAGGCTTTGCTAAAAAACTATCTGCAACAAAGATTGAGTATCTGTTTATTTTCACAAACCCTATTCCAGCCTGACTGAGTCTGGAATTTGGCAAAGGTAAGGCCAACTTAGCCTTCAATATTGGGAATAATGTAAAATATGTACAAGTGTCCAGCTGCTTATCAGGAGTGGCACTGTTGCACTGAGATAGAAACTTTTTAAATAGAATACTCCCTTTTAAAGTGTGTTAGTCTGGGTACTCCAAAATAAGCACTGTTTGTAATTTCTAAAAAAATGTAAATGTTGTAAGTAGGAACAGAGGTAAGCAATTAGGCAAACTTGTGTAATTTTATCACTTAACTTGTGAAGGGAACAAGATAGGAGTTTAAATATGAATAAAAAATGAATGTAGTTGTAGCAAGAATCGAGTCTTCAATGCTTTCATGCCTTGCATTGGTAGAACATCAACCTTTGTGGTAGAAATGACTACAACAAACTGCTGGTGACAGACATCGTCCTTCATGTGCCCTGAGCTTTCTCCATCCTCCAGGTGTAGGCCTGTCTCCAACTACCCCTGCTTAGAAACCTTGCCAATTTTCAAGAGAACACTGTTCTCAAATCTAAAAGGACTCTAAAAAAAGTTTTCCCTATTCCCCTTTCTTCTAATGGTCCCTCATCTCCCTCAACAATTTGGCTGCTTGCTGTTCAGCTGCTGGGATAAATCAGTTGCTTGTCACATGATCCAAATCACTCCTGCACTCTCTCTTTTCTGCTTGGACTCCAGAGTGAAGTCTCTGAGTTTATTGGGCTCTCAGCTTATCTGCCTTCCTGGCTCCTAGTGGACCCCTTTGCTGGATTGAATGTTGACCCATTCAATCCCGTTGCTGCTCATTTCCTCATTCCTGCATCTTTGAGCATGGATCAATGCCCCTGCTCCCTAGAGATGCCAGTGAGAGGACTTGGCCTTCGCTGAGCAGTGTTCCCTCAGGTCTCTGGTGTTAGAACTCTGCTGTATTCATCACCTCCTCTTGATTAGGGCTATGGATCATGCACTGCTTAATCCCATTGCTCATCCTTTGTCTTTCAAAGATATTTCTTCCAGTCCCAAGACCATTGATCCTGTCTTATATCCTTTGTTTTATACCTTGAACTTCTCTTAGCCCATTGCTGTGTCTGCTGTGCTCTTTTACAGAGATTCTGTGTGGGCAGGCAGTTTGTGTCCAACTGCAGCTCATCTTTGCAACTGCATCCCTTCCTATTCTCACCTTGTGGCTTACCAGGAATTTTTTACTCTTTGGAGTCCCAATCCTAGCTCATGGCCTAGGCACCTCCTGCTTCACAGGCTCCATAGGAGCAGCTGTCCTCAGCCTGTTAGTGAGCACTTGGCTACAAAACCTGTGCTTCATCTTCATCTCCTTAGTCTGTCAGACTGACACCTTCAGCCATGCATTATCATGGGAAGAAGGAGTCTAGTTCTGATTTATGCAAACTTGTGTCACTTGTGTTTGGCCAGAACATCACTCAAATGTCTCAGCCCTTGCCGCTGCACACTCTACATCACAGATGAGCCACATTTTTAAGGCTTGCTGTTTACAAGCTGTCACTTCTCGCTGTCTATCAAAGAGCTGCCTCCTAACTCTAATGATGACAGCCTGCAAGACCTTCTTCTTGTTAGATTCCAAATAAACCAGTCTTCCTCAAATGCATGCCATGTATTCCAGGCTGCTCCTACTCACTTTTGGGACCTGTTACACATGGACCTCCTGTTTTCTGTGCAGCAACATGGAGGGAAAAAAGAAAGGCACAAACTTTTTTTCTAGCTTCGTGTCAGTTTCTAGAAAATGAAGCCTTTAAACTTAAAAATCAAACATTTGCAAGTGCAGGATTGAGTCCTGCCACAGACCAAATCAAAATTTGGAGCAGAAACTTGGAAAGATAGATGCTAGTGCAGGAAAGTTTTCTGACTTTTCCTTGACAGAAGAAAAACTCTGCTGTGAGCACTGATATGTCTTTATCAAGGAGTATTTTCTGAGTGCTTGAAGCATCATAAGATGCATGAGGCAGCATGTGACACCTCTGCCCTCTATGGGTCTGGAGTAGCACACTTTGTGTGTGCAACAAGACCTGAACAGTACAACTCTACTACAGCCTGAACTCTACAACTATTATATAACAAAGGAAAACTCTCCCACAAGCCAGTGTAAACATCAGGCTCTCAATTAGGTCACCTTTGGCCCTGGTGATGCAGATGTCTGCATGATTACGAGTCTCTCAAAAACAAGAGATGTGGTCTCTACAGGGATGCGAAAAACACTCTTCAGGCTTATCTAAATTCACATTTAAAAAAATAAGATCTTGGCAAGTAATGTGGGGACTAGGTAGGTGGCTGGCATAGCCCCAAAAAAGTGTGAGGTACTGTGAATAGCAGAGAGCAGTTCTGCAGCCCAGTGTTGTCTTGTTTACTCATTGGTGCTGAAGTGTCTAAATCCCAACAAATTCATACTTTTGCATAAGGGTGACAGATGGTGTGTACATCTATATGGTAATGAGTCCTAGCTTATTTCCTATCACAGGAATAGACCAGTTCCCAAGGGGAAGATGGCCACAGAGCCATTCCCTCTACCACGGTGTGTTTCTCTACCTTTCATCCCACTACCAAAGTCAAATAGACCTTCTGATTCAGCAGTGTTGTGATCTGTGCACATGCTGTGTCATTGTAGGCAGACAAGGCACAACTGTTAGAGCAGCATCAGATGACGACATTAAAGAACTGCACCACAGAGAGAAGAGGGGGAAATACACCTTTTGCTGACTGGAAAAGACTTTCAAAGATGATTAGTAATTAACAGCTTAGTGAGAAGTTTGTTGTGTTTATTCCAATCATGATCCCAGAAGTAGTGTGCTACAGAGATCCAGTGTCTTCATCTCTTGGGAGCTGTACCTGTATCTTTTTTCTTGACAAGCTGCAAACAACTGTTACAATTTTGCTCAGTCAATAACTCAATCTCAGCACTTGTCTGAGGTTGTCCAGTTTCAGCTCCTGCAGTATCTTCCCACTGCAAATAAGAGCCTTTGCTTCTTGCATCAACATTAGCTGCATACAAGGCCATATTTAAATGTAATACAAAAGAGTAGAGAAAAGGGTCTGTTTGGGTAAAGCTGAGGAAGTACTGTATTCCTTTAAAATTTAAAGCCTTTGCTGGTATAATCAAAATGCACTGAGTGTCAGGCTGCAGGAGGCAAAGTCAGAACAGGCAGTGATGGATCACGCTTACGGTATCACCTCGGTTCATCTTTTTCCAGTTCAGATGCTGTGGAGTCTCCAACTACACGGACTGGTTCGAGGTGTACAACACAACCCGGGTGCCAGACTCCTGCTGCTTAGAATTCAGTGAGAACTGTGGGCTGCATTCCCCAGGGACCTGGTGGAAAGCGGTGAGTAGCTCTGCAGCACATGGCAGCAGCTGCCTTGCAGCCCAGCTGAAGGGTGGGCAGCAGTCATTTGAGGGGGGCACCTCATCCTATCCTAATTCACCTTTCATCAGATGCTTTCAGAAGGCTCCTGTTGAGCTGTGGCCTTTGATCTCCCATGAAACCCCCTATTTAGTTATTTTTATGAGCTGGTTTCCTTTCAGCAGGCTCCAAGCTGTTGTTTCACACCGCAGACAGGTCCATTCCAACACTGATCTGCAGCACAGACTGGTGACATCAAGCTAGGAAATGGCAGGAATGTCCTTTTTAGTGTCCCACCTGCTGGGGTCAGGTGGCAATAAAGGCAAATGGTTCATACACACACAGGCCCTGGAGCAGCAGCTGTAGCTTATCACAGCCCAGGCAGCCCAGAGACAAGAGGACTGTGAGAGCCTTGAGCACTCTTCTCCTACCAGGAGCTCTCATTCGGGGGCCTCCACTGCACAGGAGAGTGGGAACTGTTCCGCTGAGTTGCCAGCAGCATTTTTTTTTTTTTTTTTGCATTGAGTTTCTGCACTTGCCTGTAATCAAATTCAAAACTCCATGGGATAATTCCCCTACAATGGCCTCAGCAAGATCTTTCTGGAACAGATAGTCAGAGCCTAAATATGTCTCTGAAATTAGCTCAGCAATTCTGTATGCTAATTACAGGTAGTGCAATTACACAGGAGGGGTGTGGAGCAAGGCCACCTGATGAAGTGGAATTATAACTAAGTTTTGCTGGTTCTAATGGTTTGTGAAGACAATGAGTAAAGCTCTTTTGGCTACTTTCTAGTGAGATTTCATATGCATGGATTGGTACTCACAGAGGCTGAGTTCACATCAAGCACAGCTTCCTTATACTTCTTGAGTAGCTCCAGGTATTTTTTTTAATTTAAGTACGGAAAAGTTATTCTATTTCATTCAGGGTAGCAAGAAAATCAATGCAGGTTAACCCTCTGCTTCTGATGGCCATTAAGAGTTCTTCCTTTATACTTATGTAAAACTATAACTAAAGGTGTGTAGTTTTACATATGTAAAACTATATGGTATATAGGGTAAAACCCTAACTGAAGGCTGAATGATTCTTGGCCACCAACATTTCAGGACAGGGGGTCCTGTTTTTGCACACGGTTGTCTTACAGACATGATTATTTAAAGAAAGGTTTCACTTGGACCAATTCCACCCTTCCCAAAAGTGGGCCAGTAAAACAGGGCTATAGCTATTGCAGAATTTAAAGCATGAAGAAAATGATGGAGGAGTGCCCACACTGCAGTTTGAAATGGATGAAAATGGTATGAAATGGGCCCGTGTGCAGCAGTGGCAGCTACTGAGCCACTCGCACTGGGACTGTTTGGTTTCATGGGTCTGTATGTATTAAAAGGAATGTTTATTTATCCTGAAATGTGGAGAAAATGAAAGCCTCATTGTAAGGTTCTAACTGCTTCTGCTTGGGTTTTAGAGGGCAAAGAGGACCCAAACCCAGTGCTTGTTTATTTGCAGTAGTTTAACCCCAGCTGCCTACTAAGCCCCACACAGCTGCCTGCTTCCTTTCCCACCAGTGGGATCAAGGGGAGAAGCAGAAAAGTAAAAGTTAGAAAAGTGTGGGTTGAGATAAAGACAGTTCCATAGGGAAACCAAAATCTCCTGCTCAATGATAGCAAAAATATCTCCAGATTATCAACCCTGTGTTCAGGACAAATCCAAAACACAGCCCCATACCAATCACTGTGAAGAAAATGAACTCTACCCCAATTAAAACCAGCACACTATTTTTAGTTACTGGCTGAATTTAAATGGAGCAGTGCTCATGCACATTTTGGAGGTGCACTTATTTGTGTCACTGGGATTAGTACTCCATGTTCAAGCTTCAGCCCAAAAATACATTGTAGTTGCTCCAGCACTGAAATGATAATTCAGGCTACCTAGCAGCTAGGTCAGATCCATTTTTTCTCTGGCTGTATATTCCTGGGAGAGTAGAGCTGTATTTATGGCCAATACAATATTCTTGGTTTGTTTTTCTTTTTAGCCTTGCTATGAAACTGTGAAAGTATGGCTCCAGGAAAACTTACTGGCAGTGGGAATCTTTGGATTGTGCACAGCTATGGTGCAGGTACAGTTTAATATCAATTTTCAAATCCTAATTAATTGTAACTAACTAAGTAACCACAGATTCAGATATATATTCTGCCCAAGCCGGTTTTAAATCTTGCAGAATTTTTGTCTACCATCATGCAAAATTATTAAGTACTTTGAGTTTTACTTTAGTTAAAATATTGTGTACAAGGCACAGAACTAGGAATACTGCACACTATTTTATGATGCACTGCAAAGAGCTGGCACTATATCAAGTGGTTTATGTAAGACTGAAACTGGACGTGGGAGGGGAGACTGGACTCCAGACACCTAATCAGGGTAGGATGAACTGCCTTTAGGGTGCCTGTATTTGTCCAGTTATTCTCCAGAGAGGACTTGGGCTAAATAGACTATTTCAGCATAATCTAGAGGTAGCTTAGGTCTTCAACCTCATCCCTCAGTCCCAGGGTAAATTACAAATCAGGATGAGGTGCCCAGTAGTCAACGTGGCAATAAACCTGTGCAGCCTTACTGAGATTGGCAGAGACATGCCCATCAGATTTTTGAGTTGCAGTCCTTTCCATTGTGACCTTGGTCAAAGAATCTGTTGTCCACCACTTTGTCTCTTACAAAGTGCCTGTGCCTTTAACCCAGCCTAATGTGGGTGTGCCAGTCCAAGCACCAGTGGCACAGCCTGAGGATACACAGGTGAAAGTTGTGCCTGAGCTCAGGCTGGTTCAAAGTCCCTTTCCTAAATTCAGTGAAGATCTAGCTTTAGTTTCCAGCTCGCCCTTTCTCACACTCAACATGCAAGCACAAAGGATGGCATTGCTAAGCTAATTGACACTGTGTAACTGCAGATTAACTCATGGTTGTTTGGTTTGGTTGGGGTTTTTTTGTGTGTTTGTTTTTTTGGGTTTTTTTTGGTTTTTGGTGTTTTTTTTTTTATTTAATTTGTCTGGTATGCCCCTAGCAGCAGCAGGAGAGAGCCTGGGATCAGTATTCCACTCACATTCCCAATAATGACAGATTAGGCAGAATGGCACATATCTTACTCTCTCATATGTCATTTATTGGCTGCAACTTATTAATGCAAATGCCTGATGCCTCACAGGCCCAAATTCAGTAGAGTTTTGGGGTTTGTTCCAGTATAATAAGCAGATATGCTTAGAGAAAAAAAGCACAAGATCATATGGCAGACAGGCAATGTATGACTGTTGTTAATATATTACCATGATAAAAAAACCAAACCAGCTTTTGAGCATCCATTCAGCATTTAGGGTATCTTTAAAAGACACACTAAAAACCTCCAGCAGCCCATGGTCAGAGTCCTTCTCATAAATGCCCTAAATATATTAAATTTCTAAGGCAATACTATCTTTCTGACAGAAAGACATTGCTAGTTTGCATGGGAGGAAGCACTTCAGACAATTTAAAAATGCAAATTCATATTCCTAGTAAATGCTGTGCAATGCAGGGAAAACACCTCAGAACACAACAGATTTTCAGTCTGCCTTCCAGCTGCCTGGTGTGATTGAATCTACCTGATGACAAAAGTTTCTGTGTACTGTCACCTAAAATGAATGGGGCTCTCTCTCTTGCTGCTGTTTCAGTTGTGTTCTGGCCCACAGCATGTGGCAGTTTTTCATTTTAAGCATCTTAATGAATCATTCAGTGACATAATTTGAAGAACATTATTGCACATGCAACAGAAGAATCTTCCTCAGTCGTGCATGCTTCAAATTATAAACCAAGTTCAGCCACCACTGTTTTGTTACATAGATGTCCCCAAAGGTGGATACTTCCAAAAGGCCAGTGCTTGTTATAAACAGCACACCAAAACCTAATAATCTGATTTCACTGTAGAAGAGTGAGACTTGAGGAAGATTAATACCTTTATAATCATTTTTTCTTCATAAATATAGTTTGTGTGTATTCATATATTCTTTCAAAGTACTCATTAACAGGAACTATTACTCATGTAAAGACTAAAGTTTAAGTGGTCACATGAAGTGCTTAACAGAATTCATACCCTAAAATTTTCTTCCTGGCAGACTTTCATTTCAGTGACAACTCTTACAGTGGTGTTGCAAAGGGAAAGTAACAAGCACTTAGTACATTCATATAGGTACTTCAGCTGGAAGGAAAATAAGACTGTCCCCCATCCCCTTTTGATGAAATAACCACCAGAGGCAGCACAACAGGTTAGTGCTTAGCTGGAGAAGAACCCCCACCTCCCTGCTGCTTCTCTTGAAGAGGCTGAGTAGAAAAACACATCCATTGTTGATGAGGCACTGATGGCCATGATTAATGCATGTTCAGTCTCCAGTGATTCCCCCACAGGGACCTGTGCACATGTACACTTGGAAAAGTAAAGTACAGTCAAGTAAACCACAGGATTTGTAGGGCCAGGGATTAACCCAATGCCTTTCAAAACAACAGCTACAAGGACACCCACATAATGCCCACACAGCTGTGGATTGCTACTGTAAAATATTTTCAAGCAAAAGACATCCAAATTTTTTTCAATATACTTCTTCCCAGTATCTGGTGGCTGCTTTTGGTGGAGAAATTAACTCTCCCCTGCTCTCACTGTCCATTCTCTAAGACAGCAATACAGATAAGAACAAAAGGCAGACAGACTCCAGGAATGGAACAAGGACATGAACAGGCAGGAAAAGCAGTACGTGACATGTTCTCCTGTGTGTGAACAAAACTAGTCATGCTCTTCTCTTTTTTCTTGTTATTTAAATAAATTGGGGTTTTTTACTTACTGAAAAACAATTATTTGTTGTTTCTTTTCTCTTAGATTCTCGGACTCACCTTTGCAATGACCATGTATTGTCAGGTAGTCAAGGCAGACACCTACTGTGCATAGATACCATTCCCAATCTTTCTGCTTCTCCTCCAAAGGACACAGGAGAAATCTCCTTCATGCTCATTCATCTGACCTTTTTTTCCCTCCCCTTTGTACTATAAACTGTGTATAATGCTATCTTTCTGAAGATTTTGTGAATCACCCCACTTTACTGAAGGAGGAAGAGAAGAAAAAGTCAGTACTTGAACTGGCACAGGTAAGAAGCAGCCTTGTCTTTAAGCAGAGGAAAACCAAAAAAAGGAATGGTTCTTTTTCCATGGCCTGTGGCAAGGCAAGAGAGGCTGCTTACAAGGGGCTGACTGCAAACCCATGTTAGGAAAAGATGGCACTGAGGACACCTCTGCAAAAGCTGCCAGGCTGCCTTCCCACATTTCCAGTCTGGAAGAGAGGACTTAGAAAACAAATGTTCTTCAGCAAGAAGGTACAGAGTAGCTAGGACTGAATGCAATTGTAATTTTACTACAGTTTGCACACAGCTAAAATGTTACGATCAAGCAGCCCTGCCTCCAAGTGTCTCGAGATGATTTTGTAGCCAGGAGAGGATCATCTTCAGAAGTGCATTGTTTTAAAGGAGTATTTTTAATCTTACGTGCCGCAGAGTCAGGCTTTTAATCAGAATCTGTACAGCGAGATCCTGGCTGTTAATGGGAAATAATATTGGACATTGCCTCACTTCCTAATTGCCAGTGGCATATAGATGGTTGACTGCATATGTTATATATATTACATTCATAAACACATACTTTTCTGAAAGGAGGTGAAAATATCCAGCATCTTAACCTCAGAAAGAGGAAACCTTTCTATCCTATTTTACATTCCAACTGAAATAACCAAGTATTATTTCTTGTACAAGGCACTATCACTTATACCTCTGGGAAACAAGTAATTACTTTCAGCTGTATCTTCATTTCAGTAAACAACTTGTGAGTGGGCTCTCTCTGTCAGTCTACTATGGTTTTATTTATCATCCCTGTTTCAAGTAAGTCTGCCAAAAAATATCACTCATTTCCATGCTTGAAGATGTGTGCAAAGCTGTCAGCTGTTCCTTCCCTGAATGTCACCATTTCATTAATTTACTTTGGGATAACATCATCTGCAGGTATGATAGAGTTTGCCTTGCTGAGGAAAAATCTTTCGCACATTGCTCATTTTTCTGAGAGTTATTAAGACTTCAGATGCTTTTATGCTTACCTTTTTTTTTTCCTCCCAGCTGCACGCTGACAACAGCCAAGACACATCAGTCTCTGTTAGAACTGGAGTCACTTCTCAGTGCTCTTTTTCAGATGCATTTTCCTTCACCTAGCTGCTGGCTAGAATATAATCCACACTTTCTAGAATATCATGGAATCACAGAAATATGCAGAATAACTTCCCTTAACCAGGGAACAGCCATTCACTGATAACTGAAGTAATTGATGTAGTACCCTCCTATGCACATCTTCTGGTGATGAGGTTAAAATCAGATGTGTCCTGTTGTTCAAACAAGTAATTCCCTGCCAGCAAACAGCTCCAGGTGGTGCATGTGTGCCAGGAAGAAGGTGAAGCACCCCAGGGAAAGGACACAGCAGGGAACAGGCAAACAGAGCAATGCAGATGCCCTGCTCCCTCCAGCCAGCATTTGAGGAGCTCTCAGCCACTGTCATTTAGAGCAGAGAGCTGACCATGCAGCAGTGTTTTCCCAGGAAGCTGAGTGCAGCCATTCCTGCAGACTGGAAGCATGCATCAAGCTCACAGAGGAAGTTACCTTGCTTACAACAGCAGGTCTCAGCTCTGAATGACATTCTGTGTGCTTTGATTTAAAGGCAATTTCCAGCTGGACTTGCCAACCCACAGCCCATTGAACAATCTCCTTTACACCCATAACTAACCCTTTTCTGGATCTGCATTATTTGACAGATTCGCTCTCACTCATTAGATTTGGGGGGATTTTTTGTCTTCTGCTGATTTCTTGCAGTCTTATCACTCTCAAGCAGAGCTACTCCGTATTTTCTGGGAAATTGCTTAGGACAGTCTGGTGTTTAAAAGAGCAATTATCTTCAAAAATTTTACCCCCGTGGGGCATTTAGCTGTGCAGGCTAAGATAAAAGGAACATATTACTTGTGTGCATTTTATGTGGCTTCCCAATCACTATCACAATAACCTCCCCACCACTAAAGGATTTTACTGTCATGCAAACAATCCCCAACATACCCATGCTGAGCAAGTAGCCCATACACAGGTGTCCTGTACTCCAGAGCAAGAGGCTCACTTGTGTTGCAGTCACCACAGTCTCCCTGCTCTCTGCTTCTTGAGCCCAGGCTGACCTGCAGACTGTTCTGCTCTGCAAAAGATGGTGTAAGTTTTGTTCCTTCCCTCTCTTCTGCTCTGTTCTTTTCTTAACCTGCACAGATACAATTCCAGGTTAGCTGTACCATTAGTTCTTTCCTTGGTTTATAGTTTGTACACCCGGGTGATTCTGCTGACAGCTCTGAGTTTCTACCACTGAAAATCAGCATGACACAGTGATGAATACATTCATAAAACATTGATTTTTTTTTGAGACAGATAAAAGGTAGACAAGTCTATTTGTAGTGATCCCTGCCATTAAAAATTAACACAGAGACAGCAGGCTGATGATGGCTCAGTTGATGGGTGCAAACCATTGTGCAGAACTCCCCCAGAGAGCACTCTCATCAATTTGCTTGATGGTGGTGTAGGGAAAAGAGAGATCACAAACCCTTCTCCTGTTAGTCTCACAGTAATATGTGCTGAGCTCTTAGAGAATGCTTCTAGACTTCAGGTAAAGCTTCAGTGGAAACAAAATATGAGAAACAGACTGGAGACAAGTCACATTTTGTGGTTTCCTCTAATCATTTTCTACAGTTTAGGTGTCTTTACAAGGTGAACTTCCTTGGTTTTCAGAAACAAGTACCTAAAGGGAGTATAAGCAACTCTCACTTTGTAAATCCCAGTCACTGCAACAAAAACATACAGTCCGGAAAAAACAAAACAAAACACCACAAACAAACAAAAAAATCCCCAAGCAGACAAACAAACAACAACAAAAATCTGCCCCAGATCACATATTGCTGCTAATAATTCTTTTTTAAATCCCCTTCTTCCACTACCGAGATGCTACTGCAACTTGTTCATAATTTGAACTGGACTATTTTGTATATTTGATGTTATTAACACTCTCCACACAGACCAAACAGCTGTTACAGTGCTTACAGCATTACCAGCACAATCCAATTTCATACCTCTGAACACATCGAACATAACAAGCCTCAGACTTACCATATTTTCTTAAGATTGCTGCATCCTTTCTCTGCTGACAAGGTCAGAAGATTTTGTGATGTGTAACAGCAACAATCTTTAAAAAAAACCCCAAAAAGCCAAAAAAAAGACAGTTCCATTTTACACATTAAACTGGTTGATTATATATAAGTAACCTGTAGTACATAATATCCATTTGAAAGGCTGCTGATATTGAATGCAGGCAGAGCAACACAGAAGTCATTCCAATTGCTTCTATTAGTGTCTTGTCACTTTTAGTAAAGCCTTTTATATTATTGTGACTTCTTATCTTTAAACATGAAGGAGGACTCAATACATTTAAATTAAAGACAGAACCAAAGGCAATAAAGGAGCACTCCTAATTTATTCTCATGGCTGTTTCTGCTTAATAACAAGATATGAAGGTGCAGGGTATATGACTGAACTTAGTGAATTCAGCAGCAACAGGATTTAGCTTTTTAGATTCAGTCCAATATACTTTTGGCTTTTCATTTTTCACAATTATAAAAAAAAAACAAAACACCAAAAACATATATTTAATAGAATATGGCTTACTTTCCTGCACTGTCACTAACAGCCAAATCTTATTACTTGTACAACAGAATTACTTAGCTCTTCATTATACAGTGCACAATCACTGAAATTCACTTCAGTTTCTGTTCTATGAATTGTTCTTTGGTCTCCCCACTCAAACAAACTTATAAAGGTTTATTCTTTTATCAATAATTGGCATTTAAATGCAGCATTGTAGGATTTATCATATGGAGAAGAAGGGACTGCACAGAAGCTGTAAAAATCCTCTGTCTTACATCATCAATAGGGCTGCTAAGGGAATCCACACAAACCCTCACTTCTCACAAACTGATGAGAGCTGGTCACAGTGAGTACACGTGACTGGGCTGCCTCTTACACCTTCCCAGGGTAGGACAGGAGGTTGTCAGCATGGACAAAGCCACAGCCTTTCATTTACCCCTTGGCTTCGGTGTTGTGCGATAAATGTGGCACCAAAGGTAAGCAACAGAAACCAGCAGTTGATTGTGGCATTTATTTTAAAGCCAGACTCTTTATTTACTATAATTTATCTGCAAGAATTTGCTAAGTGTAAATGATCTGCATAGATAATGAGTTAGTTAGAAAACACGTTGGGACTTGCCATGGGAAATCTTGTTTGGATTCCATTGTGAATTCTCTCCCTTGTCACTGGTATCTCACCACAGCGGGCAGTCTCCTCTGTTCTTTGGATTTTGTTGCTGCAATTACAATGGTACATTTTTGTGCATTCATATAAAGAACGAAATTTAAAATATACCTTTTATTTTTAAAAAGTTATTAAACATTCTCTAAAGTTTACAACAGAATGTCTTTTGTATTCTTTATAAGCAACTGCACTACAAGCTGAACAGTGATTCTGTACAGACCCAGAGATGTGTGTGTGTGCAAGTGTGGGCAAGTACACACACATATACTGTATGCAATTTAACAAAACCCTACAGTGTTCTACTTCTTTGTCATTTCTCATTACCTTTGATTTGACCTATCCTTCCTTACAAATTTGTTTTTATTATTATTATTTATGTGGCTTACCTATTCCCAGGTAAATGTACACCTCTCTTTCCTTTTAAGGGCAGGCAACCTGAAATTATGTGGTAATCAATTCAGAAACTACTGGGAGATCAGGTTTAGTGTTAAAAAATATTCAGACCCAAACCAAATTATTTTGTGTTCACAACTTGTCTGTTACTGATAACTTTGAAATAAAAGGACTTCTCTTTTTCCGAGGTAGTTGCTTACATTCAGAAATTACATTAGTAAAACTTGAAAAATTAACACCATAGTAAAACTTGAAAAAATTAACACCAGAATATTTTTCAATTGAACAACTAGGAACTTGTGTCAAATCAGAAGAATGTCTGGTTAGTCAGGTATGTTATCTGCAGTCATGTCTAACACTGCCTTTTTTATACCATTTGTTGTACCCTACAGGTCAAATACCTTTGCAAGTGAAATTGCCTCTAAATTCTGCATTCTGAACAACACAAGTGTACTGTTGAAATTGTAATGGAAGAAGTAGAGACCCAGAGGTTTAGAGATTATTGCAGGAAGCATCATAAGGGATCACCCACATATTTGATGGAAGTTTCTTACAGTTCCCTCACTTTAGGACAGATGTTTGTATTACTTGAATTGTCTCGATCCCAGAAGTGCACCACTAGATGGTCTCATCAGCCACATCTATCTTTAATCCCTTTCTGACTTTGTGAAACTTTACACTTTAGGGCTGCAGTATAGCAGTGAATTTCACAATTTCTTCATGTTGCATTTAAAAGAATCCTTCTTACATGGATTTTAACATTGTTGCCTTTCAATTTAATCTACTCACCATTGGTTCTATACTTCAGGAAGGATAACTTAATGATGCTTACAGAAGTACATGGGCTCAGAGCAGCAGTATTACCTTTACAGCTTAATTTGCCTTTCCAGTAGAGCTTAACCCTGGGTAATTGAGTACCCTATTGATTTTTAAGATCCCATTGTTTCAAACAACTAAGCCCAGTGTACCTTCCCCTAGTAGCTATCCCATTTATCTTTGCTTTTGTACTACATGTTGGCATAGACAGAGCTGTTCCTACTTTAATCAACAACTAGATGAGTATTTCACCCCACAATCTGCTATTTTTCCAAAGTACACTTAACACAACATGGAAATATCAGGCCTAGCTGATTACACTGGCTGTGTAAAACAAAGTACTTTCTGTCTGCATGGCAATAATTTTCAAATAAATTTAAGGGCAGTTTATGAAGCTTCATCCAAAGTTTTGTCTTGACACATTAAAAGTGCAAAACACAGAACCCTATGTTTCATATCTTACCATGCTAAAAACCCCAAGCAAATAAGAAATCTGTCATTAATATCTCATCTGGCAAATTTCATTTGAAAGGCTGTTTTTCTGAAATCCCATTAGTTGCCTAAGGTAGGTCACTTTACCCTAGGCCTTGCTTCCTTGTCTCCCCCTGCAATAAACTGTTTCCCCATGGAAGTGCTGTCTGTTCACTAGAAATCCTGGGGTTTGTTGACCTGCAAGAAGAGCTCAGTTTACATTCCTCCCTCCAAGAGCCAGAACACATTCAGTACCAAATCTACACCAGTGTGTGTTAGACAGCTAAAGAGAAGTTCTGTGACTTAGGATGAGGGTTTTTAATGAAGAAATAGCTGACCAGTTGAACTGATGTCTCAAACAAGTCCCTGGTATCTTTTATGATGCAGAAATAATTTAGGCAGAGCAGAATATTTTGTTACTACAGAATTGCTTAACAGAGACTTCCCTGTACTTGCAAGTAAAGAATAATTTGAAAGGATGGGATAATTATCCACTATAAATTTCCCCTTATATTCCCATAGCACTGCTATTTCACTGTATAGTTCCAGTCACCAGCAACAAAATAAAACATTAATTAAATTCATAGAAAACAAACATCTATAGAAAGAAAAGTACAGTATAAAACTCCCAACTGTTAATGTATATTGCATGTGTCTGTGTCTCATATGGACTGTGACAAGAGTTTCAGGTGTAAAGCATTCATCCTGAAGATTAACTAAAAATTACTGGAGAAATACAGGGATTTTGGAAACTGGTTTGTCAAAGTCTATTCAGATGCACCTCATCATCTCCTTCTTCCACAAATGCCCTTCTTTGGCCCTTAAGCTTCAGTCCCTCACTGCTCCAGCCCTTCCACCTCTACCATTTAAATCTGCTTTTCTGCACAAAAAAAAATATGTAATCATCACAGTCCCAGTACATCAAATGTGGAGGGGATTCAGTTGTTTGACTGTATAAATTTTAGTGCCCAATGGTAAGACATGTTAGGTGGCTTTACATCATTCAGGTTTGATACTGATTTAGGAGACCACAGAGCAGAATAAGTACTGTGACAGAGAAATTCATGCAGCCTGGTTCTGGACCCATGTAGTGACTGAATCTGAATTGCTCTTAATGTCCTCTGTTCCTTGATGCAAGCCTGCAAATAGCTAGACAAGCACTGTTATCAAGCAGAACTGTCACTGGCTGTTTAGCATGCTCCAGACAGACTAATGCTGCAGGGATTCTTGCTCCATTTTTTTTTAACCCAGTTTACCTTGGAAACTTCTTCAGTGTTATTGTATCAGCCACAGATGCAATTAACAGATTCTGGTATTATATCTCAGCTTGAATAATAAGCACCCAGGATACTGAGGTAAAAAAAAATGCCTCATCTTAGAATCTTAGAAATTATAAATTTGTTGTTCTTTTGAAATGCTCACCTGCCCCCACACACTCTTAAGGTGACTGGGGCAGCATATACATCCCCACAGTTTGTACTGTGGCAGCCCAACTGTCCACAATAACTTCTATTAAAAAAAAAAAAAAAGGTGTAAAAATGTGCTTGTGTAATTCTCAGTTCTCTCATTTTCAGGCTGTCATTTCTCAAGGAACAAACCCTCTCCCTCCCTTCAGGGAGTTAGAGCTGTTTTCAAACTCAATTAGGATGAAGCATTTGCAAATACTCCAGGAAAAGAGCACTCCTGCATTGTGCTGATTCTAATGTTTTTTTGGAACCCCACCTCTCAGGCTGTAATCAAATACCAGGTCTCTTATCACAGTCAAAATCACCACAAGCTTTGTTGTAATCTCAGAACACCACACAGCCTCCCTCCCCACCGATGGCCCCTGTGTTAATGTCACTTGAAAGCCAAGCTGGCATTAGTTGACCAGGGAGGCTGTATGGAAGCACAGGGCAAGCTCTTTGGGTAAATTCGTCATGCTGTAAGCTCAGCTGCAGGAACTGGACACACAAATATGTTAGAAACAGTAATATATCCCCCTCAAAGCCAGAGGTGCTTTGACTATTCTGGTGAGCCGCTAAATTATGGACTCTTAAGGCCAGAGTTGCCTCAAAAACTCATAATTGAAAACAATCCTGCTTTTGGGGGAAGGACAGAAATTGTGAACTCAGACCTGTGCACAACAGAAGGAATTACGGATTTGCAAATGCAAACACAAGAGAGTACATAGACTGAATTGATGTGTCATATAATTACTAACTCACTTTCCCTAAACAAAGTAATTCACCACCTTGGAAGTACAGCTTGTTGTCATGGAACTTGCTTGATATTTGGTGCTAATAAAAATTGAAGTTTTAAATCTCCCTGTGAAGTCCGTGCATTGAAGTTCTTCCCTATTAAACACCTTCTTATTCCTGACTGTGCACCACAGCTGGTTACCCTGACACAAAACATCTTCCTTATCAAAAGGTCCTTTGAAATAAGTGCTCACAGGTTTCAAAGAAGAATTATCACAAGAAAAACTGGCACAATTAAAAGCTTGCTGCAAATCACACTGGCTTGTTCCTGATGGAATCAAGACTTACTGTACATTCAAAAAAATCTGTGTGAATGTGTTCTTCTCCAAACCCAAATATTCCAATGCAAGCAATCTTTGCTGTGGGTGGCACAGGACTCCAGTTTATCCAAATATCTTCACCAGGAAAGGTGAGGAACAAAAGGGTATGAAAATGACAGGTATGGAAAAAAAAAAACCAAACCAAAACATAAATGAAGATTAAGAGAGAAGGTTGGAAATGGACAAAATAGCTGAGCAAACTGGTTTTCCCCACTGTAAGGTACAAAGATAGAGCAGCATCCCATGAAACATGTGGTGACCCCATTGAGAACAGTCTCTGTGTCCTGTTCCAACTGCTTTCCTGTTCTCTTCAGACTGCAATTCCATCTATTCCCCTCCTAGGTGCAGCAGGTTCACCAAACTAGTGAAGGACACAGGAATACTCAGATGATGAACAGCTCTAAAGGGTACAGACACTGATTTCTCTCACATCCTCCAGATTTCAGTAATTCCAGCCTAGCAAGAGATCAAGCCAGGGAGCAGAGACATTGAATTCATATGTAATTTCGACATTATTGGAAAATGTTGAGAATGATGGGATACACCTGCAGGTCCTGAGGGAACTGCTGGATGAAGTAGCTGAGCAGTAAAGTTCTCACTGACTGGAAAAGGAGGGACATATCCCACTTTTCCCTTTATAAAAATGGGGGTTACCTGGAGAACTACAGGCCCATCAGTCTCACCTCACTGCTCAGTAAAATCATGGAGCAGATCCTCCTGGAAAATATGCTAAGGCACATGGAAAATAAGGATATGTCTGGGGACAGCAAACATGGCTTCACTAAGGGAAAATCATGCCTGATAAATCCAGTGGCCTTCTTTGATGGGCTTACAGAGGTGGATAAGGGAAGAGTGACTGACATGACCTACCCAGGCTTGTACAAAGCTTGACACTACTTGCACAACAGCCTTGTCTCTAA